TACCTAGCCCGCGACAGGCCCGTGCCTAGCCCGCGCTCGGCCACGTCTTACGCCTGCGCCCGGCCCCGTCTCTTGCCCGTGCCCGGCGCGTACCTAGCCCGCGCCCCGCCTCGTCTATCGCCAGCGCCTAGCCTCGTACCTAGCCCGCGCCCGGCCCCGTACTTAGCCCGCGCCTCGGCCCCGTACCTGCCCAGCGCCCGGCCCCGTACCTGCCCAACGCCCGGCCCCGTACCTGCCCAGAGCCCGGCCCCGTACCTGCCCAGCGCCCGGCCCCATACCTGCCCAGCGCCCGGCCCTGTACCTGCCCAGCGCCCGGCCCCGTTCCTGCCCAGTGCCCGGCCCCGTACCTGCCCAGCGCCCGGCCCCGTACCTGCCCAGCGCCCGGCCCCGTTCCTAGCCATGGCCCCGTCGCCCCTAGCCATGGCCCCTCTCGACCTGCCGCCCCTAACCGCGGCCCCGGTGCCCTGTTGCAACATGGTGGGTGAGGGGGTGGCAAGAGGGGGTTCCTCCTACCCGTGTGCCCTACAGTCGCACGCGCAGCTCCGCCCCCGCCCCCCTCCCCCCCCTCCCCCCCCTCCATGGGGATGGCGGGGAGAGGGTGTGAGGGGGTGGCGGATGTGCCTCAGCAGCAGCAGCTGCCGCCACGCCTCCTCCTCTCTCTCTCCCTGCCGCACCTTGTGTTGGGAGAGGGGGGGAGCTTGGAGGTTCAGGGGGAGGCAGGAGGGGATCTGCAGCACCAGCTCCCCCCCACCCTTCTCCTACCTCCCCCTGCTGCGGGTGCAGCAGAAGGGGGGAGGGGATCTGCAGCACCGACCCCCCCCCCCCCCCTCCTCCCCCCCCTCATCCTTCTCCTACCTCCCCCTGCTGCGGGTGCAGCAGTGGGGGGGAAGCGATCTGCCATCCCCCTGCTGCGGATGCGGCAGTTGGGGGAGGGGACCTGCAACACCAGCCCCCCCCCTGCCCCCCCCCCCCCTTCTCCTCCATCTCTCTGCTGCGGGTGCAGCAGTGGGGGGAGGGTATGGGGGTGGCGGGTGTGGCCAACCTGCTGTCGCTCGAGCGGCTCCTGCGCCGCCCCTTCTCCTACCTCCCCCTTGCTGCGGGTGCACCAGTGGGGGGGGAGGGGATGTGCGGCACCACCCCCCCCCCCCCTCCCCCCCTTCTCCTACCTCCCCCTGCTGCGGTTGCAGCAATGGGGGGGAGGGGATCTGCAGCACCAGACCCCCCCCGCCCCACCCCCCCCTCCCTTCTCCTACCTCCCCCTGCTGCGGGTGCAGCAGTGGGGGGGAGGGGATCTGCAGCATCAGCCCCCCCCCGCCCCCCCCCCCCCCCCTCCCCCTTCTCCTCCATCCCCTGCTGCAGGTGCAGCAGTGGGGGAGTGTATGGGGGTGGCGGGTGTGGGTGCAACTGCGGGGTGGCGGGTATGGGGGTGGCGGGTGTGTGAACCCCCCCCTGCTCCTCCTCCTCCTCCGTCTCCCACTGCTGCAGCTGCCGCTGAGGGGGGTGGGTGTGTGGGAGCCGAAGGAGTGGTGCTAGGGGGGTGACGTGGGAGTGGAGTTAGGGGTTCAGCAGGGGGTGTGTGTCAAGGGTGTGGGTCAGTTGGAGGAGGTCGTGTGGAGGTAGTTGTCGTGTCGCGTGCAGCGCCTGTAGTCCGTCGCCCTTGCTTCGGTAGCCAGTGAGCATGTTGCACCAGTCGCCAATGGGTCCGTTGCTCCTGCCGCTCGTCTATAGCCGCGGAGCCAGTCACTCCAGTAGCCCGTCGCCCTTGCTTCGGTGGCCACTGAGTCAGCCGCTCCTGTGCCCGTGCCTCTGCAGCTTCAGTCGTTGCCTCCTATCTTCTCTCCGTCCATAGTACTCTCCTCCTCCTCACTTGCCCTCTGTGATAGCCTCTAGCTTTGCTTGCCATTGTGAACCTGCTCTATAACTGCTTGCTCTGCTGATTATACCCCACTTTGACTATGGGGGTGTGTCAGAATGTATTTGCTGTTTAGCCTGCAATGGGGTACTCTGTAGTGAGTACAACCCAGTTTAGGGTTTGCTATTTGTATTCCAACTTTCTATAGTGAAACCCCTCATTCTTCCTTCTCGACTTTCCTCACCCAAAATTCTCTCGACACTCATTGGCCATGGCTCCTAAGTCACGCTAGTATTCTAACATATAAGACACATATGTCTTATCTCGTACACACAAATAGGTCTCGTATGAAAAGGCTAGCCTGTTTATAAGAGACACCCGTATAATAGACAACCCCTGTCTACTATTCAACACTGTCTTATATCCGGGCGATGACGGTACCACTTCCAGCCCCTATGCATTCACTTCACCCAGGGCTCTTGCTACCGTAACTATTTGGGCCGTCTGATGAATAAGTAAATTGTTTTTTTTAGTCTGACCATCATATGAGGGATTCTGGGTGATTTGATTTTCAGATGAAATATTTAAGGCCGTCTGTGACAACGTATGAATAAAGTTTAACGTGCTATTACATTTGTGTGGATGGCGGAGTTGGTTTGATTTGAACGCGGACTCCGGCGGTAGTGGGATCGACTCTTGCGAGGGGGTTCTCGAGCTTCTTTGATTTCCCTTCGGTTATCAGACAGATGTATCCTCGTTGTCTGGAAATTCATACGAAATAAATATATTTTCTCATAAACATGAGTATAAACAGCTTATCTGGGCTCTCATATGAACCGCATTTTTTTTGTCTGCGAGAACATATGAACAGAAAAAAATGCGACTGAAATCTAGACCAACAGACTAAATTAGTCTGATAACGAGAGCCCTGACTTCACCCATCTCTTCAACCCACTAGAACTGGTAGAAAACTGTGCGAAGTTTCCAAAATGATTAGAAATCGGCATATTTGTCGAGTTTGGGCGACAGGGTCCACATTACTGCCATATTTTTGCACACCACGAAATGAATGGATGGAAGGGCATGTATAAAGAAGCATTTAGGGAAATACAAACCGATAGTGTAAAGGCTTAATATGCAATAATGGTGTCGCAACAATTCTGTTCGGAGGCGCAGCGACACGGGTCTCTGTACAAGCACTCTCGTGTGCTCTTGACTCTCGAGAAGGGTACAGAGGAGCACAAACGCCCTTGATTTCTCACCGCGCTTCGATACCTTCAACCCAATCTTTCCATATACAGTATCGGGTTGCAAAATTGACGGCTCGCATCATACTGTACTCAGCTTATCGTACGATGAGCAAGGGATCTTCGATTCTTCGTGTGATGGTAGTTCCACAACACATTCCAGCGCTTGTTTGAGATGTCGCGACTCGCGACATATCTTGCTTCCTTGTTCCCTCGACTTGTGCAGTTGTAAACATGGGCCCTCCTCGTCCTTGGTCTTGCGTCGAGGGGACACGAAAATCCTGATGCGACATGCCCCCGAAAGCAAGTTTGGTCAGGGTGGATACTTTTATTTGTGGATTACGTTGTCGCGATTTAATTCATGACTTTCGCCGAGTCAGCATCACCGACCCGCAACGTCGTGTGAGATTGTAGGGGAGGGGAGTTATTGGAGCACAGGCCAGCATAGAGTTGTTGCTACACCAGACCAGAGCCATGCTGGCAGCACCGCAATCGAGGCGCCATGTCTTGTCCTTGACGTGACGTGACGAGAAGTCTAGTCGTGCTGATGCGACCTCCCTCAGACAGCGCGGTAGTACAATACGCATACGAGAGCAGCGATGCGCCTCGACAGGGAATGTTAGATGCGTTGGGCATCTTTGGCTGCTCATAATGCTAGCAGCATAAGACCATCCAGTCTCAAGGCAGATTTATAGAACGAAGCCTATTACCCAACGCGACCTTCTATCTGATCGCGCTTTGATTATATCTAGCGTTTCCGGTTGAGCGCCTGTTTCGCCTCGTTTGATTAGTATCTGCCACGCAAGTCGTACATATAAGAATGAACGCTCTACGCTTCTCTCTCCTCGCGCTCCTCGCGGCGGCCCTCGTGCTGCACCTGCTGCCCGCGCGCGGCACCGCGTTCCCCGTCGAGTCGGCGATCGTAAACGGCGAGCTCAGTTTTGACGACGCCGGCGACAGAGTCGCAAACTTCCTCGGCGACGACGCCAGCGATTTTCGCAACCTAGCCGGCAGTAGTAGCGGCGCGGCGACCGGCGACGAGGGCGGCGCAAAGTCCGGCAAAAAAGGAGGCTCGAAAAAGCGAAAGTCAAAGAAGCACGGGAAGGGAGCCTCCACGGCCGGCAATTTTGTGTTCTGCCCCTACGCTAGCTAGTCTGGCGGGTCGCTGAAGGCCGAGAAGTGCGGCAGTGTGGCTGCATTGTGAGTTGCACGGGAAACCGACGCACTGAATTGCACATCGTGCATTTTCGCTGCGTTACCCTGTTTCGTTTCCACTTGTGCGTCATGGCCACCGTCGCCTGAACTACTTGACTCGCTTGTTTGCGTGTCCCTTTTCCCACTCCTTTTCGCCAATCCTCCCGTGCCGCCGCGGCAAGTCAACTCAAGACTGTCGCAGTGGGTTCCGCAGAGCTCCCCCTAACCTTTCCACATGCGCCCATTCCCGTCCCCACCTCGCTCCCTCCCTCCAGTTTCACAGCCTACGCAGTCCGCGCTGCCAGCCTAATGACCTGCATTCGGCGCTCGTGTGGCGTTTCTGCTACTAATAGTGCAAAGCTCTGCTTCCATGTGATGGGTGCTCTTAGAATGTGTAGTTGCTGCAATGCATTTGTGGGGAAAGTGCATGTCTCGAGTTCCAACCATTGTTGGGGGTTAGCATGAGAGTCAGGCACCATGTGTCATGCCATTGGAAGATTGTGCTAGAAAAGGTACCCTACCAGAACTGTAATTACCAACGTTCAGCTTTCTTCCCTCCTAACTTCTCCACAATGAGAACTCTCTGAGAATACAAAAAAACTTAGCTCAATTCACATATTATCCTCCCCCTGATGAATCAACAAGCATCCCAACTTCACATCCGTGCAAAGCACATCCCCATTCCCTCCTGATCGCCTTGACCACTTTTACAAAAACTTTCGGCTGCCCGATTGTGCACCCGAGAACCGCCCGGAAAGGCCCTGAGCCATGCCGTCTGCCGTCCACTTCATGGCCTTGGGCTTGACCTCTAGATCCTTCTCCCTGTCCCACATCCGCCACCCTGCATTCCCGCCTCCCCCTCTCTCTCCCTCCCCTTTCCCCTTCCCTTTCTCCTTCCCCTTGCTCTTTTTCTTGCCCCCCTCGGCCTGTTTCTTCCGGTGCTGCTCCACCAATGAAACGGCTTGCTTCTGGGCGGCAAGATTGTCCACTAGCGCCGCCGTGCGCTTGTCCTGTAGTGACTGCAGGGCGGCAGCTGAGTCAGCAGAAGGGCCCTCGAGGGCATTGGCAGCAGAGGAATAGGCCTCCAGGTACCTGAAAGAAAGGTTCAGTTGGGATCAGTCAGGTTCAGTTGGGATCAGTCAGGATTGGGGCAACGCAGGGTGGGGAAAAGACGGCATTGGCAGCAGAGGAGTAGGCCTCGAGGTACCTGAAAAGAGGGTTCAGTCAGAACCGGTTGGGGGAGTTGGGTGCAACGCCAGGCGTGGAAAAAAGGGAATGATGGGTGCATGATGGGAACATGCCACCAGGGGCGTGGGTGTGGGTCCAGTAAGGGGTAACGATGGAGGGGTGGGGTTTGTTTTGGGCGCCTGGACTGGTCATTGGACTCTCCAATACAGATACGTAACAACACATTGGGCTGGCGCTCACTGTTGCTTAGCCACGTGAAAAAAGAGTTGTTTTGAGACGTCCCAGAACATGTTTTTTGTCATGTGGGTTTGGGCCCCTGAACTGGTCCTTGACCTTGGCCTCTCCAGTACAGACAACTAACACACATTGGGCTAGCACTCACTGTTGCTTGGCTCTGGCAGCTCGCTGCTCGGGGTTGTCGGTCCATGCTGACGTGTCGCCCCGTCCCACCTTGTCACTGCGACTAAAGAATGTGTTGGTCTGAGCTGGCGGGCGGGCCTGAGAGGGTACGGACGGGGGGAGATGGAGGTGGGGGGATGTGATTGGTTTGAGGTTGGGTGGGTGTGTGCGTGGAACATGCGTGCATATTGACTTGGTGGCTTAGAAGAAAATGCTGTGGTTGAAATGCACCACCATGCATGTGACATGGTGCTCACCAGCGAACTTTTGAGTCGACTCAAAAGTCAAAAGTCAACTTATGAGTCAACTAAAAAATGCTGTGGTTGAAATACACCACCATGCGTGTGACATGGTGCTCAGCAGCGCCCACCAGAGCGACCAGCACGCAAGCAACGCCCACCACAGCGACCAGCACACAAGCAACGCCCACCACAGTGACCAGCACACAAACAACGCCCACCACAGCGACCAGCACACAAGCAACGCCCACCACAGCGACCAGCACACAAGCAACGCCCACCACAGCGACCAGCACACAAGCAACGCCCACCACAGCGACCAGCACGCAAGCAACGCCCACCAGAGCGACCCGCATCTCCAACTCCTGAATGTGGCTTCAACCCAAGCAGCAGCCACCACGGCAGATAAACTTCCCCCAACCCTTTCTCGACCCCTGTAATCTTGAGGTTCTGAGCCGTTCTTTCATATGAGGGCCTTGTGTTTGTCACGTGTGAGTCGTGACCGAACCATTCCGTCGCAAGAAAAGCTCCATCATCGTTCGTGCAATCCGATCTGATTTGATTCTGGTGCGTGTTCCTCCATAGGCATGTTTGCAATGCCACCCAACTTGCGCATGGGCAACGTTCCGCCGCGAGCCCATCCGAAGCCAATCGAAAGCCCACTGGGAGCCCATTGCCACACTGCACCACGCTACACCACACTACGACACACCATGCCACAGCACACCGCGCCACACCCACCTGTCGTTTGGGTGGCAGCTCCGTCATCCATGTCTCGCGCTCCACACCCTCCCTCCCGTCTCGCCCTGTCACCACCCACCTGTCACGAGGGCGGCAGATTCATCACACCATGCCACACCACACCATGCCACACCACACCATGCCACACCACACCATGCCACACCACACCACACCATGCCACACCACACCACACCACACCACACCCACCTGTCGTTCAGGAGGCAGCTCTGTCATCCACGTCTCGCACTCCATGCCCTCCCACCCCCCTCGCCCTCTCACTGCCCACCTGTCACAAGGGCGGCAAATTCATCACACCATGCCACACCACACCACACCACACCACACCCACCTGTCGTTCAGGAGGCAGCTCTGTCATCCATGTCTCGCGCTCCATGCCTTCCCGCTTCGCTGTGCCCAGCAGCTCGTCATCCCCGGGCAGGGCCTCGCCTGGTGGTGAAGGGCAGGTAATGACTGGGGTCAACAGCAGTCAAGAGTAGCTAACCCCCCTCCTCCCCCGCTCTCGCTGTCCCCCGCAGCTCCTCATCCCCGGGAATGGCCTTGCCTGGTGCATGCATGCATGCACAGTCAAGGCAAGTCAAGGACAGTCAAGGGCAGTCAATGGTGGTCAAGGGCAGTCAAGGGTATTCAAACGATTTAAAGCATAGCAACTGATGATGGGTGGAGAAACTTGCAACCATCATGGGTCAGACATGGTCAGGCACAGTGAGGCACTGTCAGGCTCATGGTATTACTTCAGAGAATTCTCAACAGTGTTCTTGGAAACGGCAACAGTCCAAGCACTCTACTGTCTCTGCTCCATCCGCTCCCATCGCATCCACGCCGTCACCTCTTCCCGCCCGCCCCTTGCAATCTCTCCTCCCTCTATCGCCCCCACGCACCCTCCCCCACCCATCCCTCTCCTTCATCCCCCCTCTGCCCTCCCCCCTTCCGCTCTCACCCCTGCCCCACCCTTCCGCTCTCACCCCTGCCCCACCCTTCCGCTCTCACCCCTGCCCCACCCTTCCGCTCTCACCCCTGCCCCACCCTTCCGCTCTCACCCCTGCCCCACCCTTCCGCTCTCTCCTCTCTGCTCCCCCCTGCACCCACCTCTGAGCTTGCGCCACTCGGCTGCCTCCCTCAGCGCCCTTAGCTCCGCCTGAGGGGGTGGGGAGGGGAGGGGGAAGGGGACAGATGGAGACGAAATGAGAGGAGGAGGGTATGGGTTGACGGAAGAGGAAGATGGGAGATGGGAGATAAGAGAGTGGCAATGAGCCGTGGGATTGGCATGGCAACATGGAGACCTCTCCCCGTGCCCCCATTCCCCCCATTTTATCCATCCCCCATTCGCCAATCCCCCCATACTATCCTTCCCCCAATACCCCATACTCTCCTCCCCCCATTCCCCCATTCTATCCTTCCCCCAATCCCTCGCCATCCGGTTCTCATCGTTTCCAAGACGTTATCTGAGCACACATATGCCTTTCATTGCAGAACGCACATCCAACTCTTATCCCACCGATAACATCCCTCGTGTCCCACCAACGCTCATATCCCACCAGAAAACCCTTCCATGCCCTCTCCCTCTCACCTGCATGGCCGTGTGCTCCTCTCAGGCTACCATCTCCGCATCCACCACCGATTTCTGCACTCCTTCCTTCACCTCGCCATACCCCACTGCCCTTTTCCCTCATACACCCCATACTCTGCTCCACCAAAATACCCCTCCAATCCTCCCATGTCCTCTCTCTCACCTCCATGGCCTTGCGCTCCTCCCTCGCTGCAATATCTGCATCCACCACCAATCTCTGCATGCACAGCCACGCATGGCCATGCACACATGCATGCGCACGCATGCACACACATTAACACCCCCTCCTGTCCTCCTTGCCCTCTCACCTCCAATTCTTTGCGCTCCTCCCTGGCTGCAATCTCTGCATCCACCACTGATCTCTGCACATTCAGCCATGCACACACAGCCATACACAGCCATGCACGCACATGCCATGCAATGGCCCGTAGCCTCTTACCTCCATTTCTTTGTGCTCCTCTCTGGCTGCAATCTCTGCATCCACCACTGATCTCTGCACACACAGCCATGCATGCACACAGGTCCAAAGAAATGCACGCACACATGCAGACAGAGGCACACGCATGCGCACACATGCAGACAGAGGCACACGCATGCACGCACATGCATGCACATGCATGCACATATGAACAGACACGTACACGCGCGCATATCCAATAAAAGTGATAAGAGCAGGATGCAGAGCACGCATGCCAAGATGTTTAAGCGCATGCGAATGCATGTATGCACGGAGCGATAAAGGTTTGCATGGATGTAAGCATGCAGGGATATAACCACACAGGGATATAAACACGCAGGGATATAACCACGCAGGGATATAACCATGCAGGGATATATATATGCGGCTAAGCAGCCAACGGGGGTGTAGCTCACATGGTAGAGCGATCGCTTTGCATGCGATAGGTAAGGGGATCGATGCCCCTCACCTCCACTATTTTGATACCCCATTTCTAGAAGAATGAAACCTGATATGGAGGTTGGGTTGTCACAGAAGATTTTGAATCTGTCTAGCCTCTCACGTCAAGATCAGTTTTTTTCACCTTGGTGGGTTGGTGCGGTGCCCAAGTGTCCCAAATTGCATGAGCGTTGTCCTTGATTGGGTGGGCTCTAAGGTGGGCTAAAAAGACCCCAACTTTTGGAAGATCAGGCGTGGTCTGCACACATCGGCCTTAAGACACGATATGCATATGCACATGCGAATGCATGGTTGCATGCCTGACTCTGGGTTGATAGCAGCCTGAAAAGGGGGGGGCTTCCAGAGCAGCGCACCTTACTGGGGTCCTTGAGTCGGTTCACTGCATCGTTAAGCCTCACATGTACACGCGCCTGTGCATGCATGCATGCATGTGTGCGCTGCCAAGTGACGCACCTTACTGGGGTCCTTGAGTCGGTTCACGGCGTCGTTCAGCCGCAAAAACGCCTCCTGCGCGAGCGGGTGGCTGCACTTGTCCGGATGCACCAGCAGCGATGCTTTCCAGTAGCTGTGCGTGGAGGGGGGACGAAAAGGGGAGTAGGGATGGGGACGGGTTACGGATCCGTGTTGTGGGATGCAGATGGTGCAGGAATAGGAGGTACGAGGCAGAAACGCCTCCTGCGCTCTCTGGTGGCTGCACTTGTCTGGATGCACCAGCAGCGATGCTTTCCAGTAGCTGTGTGCAGTGGAAGGGGGGGGGAGAAGAAAAAAGGCATGAAAAGGGATGGAGGGAGGGGCATTTAGGATTCATGGGGTGGAGTGAAGATGGTCCGGGAAGCTACTATTCCTGAGTCCTGACGCCTCCTATACACATGCAGAATGCACATGCACCAGCAGAGGTGCTTTCCAGTAGCTGTTTGGAGTGGACGGGGGGAGGAGAAGAAGTAAGGGAAGGAAGGAATAAAAAGGGATGGAGGGAGGGGCATTTAGGATTCACGGTGTGGAGTGAAGATGGTGTGGAATGAAGATGGTGTGGAATGAAGATGGTGTGGGAAGCCATTCTTCCTGACGCCTCCTGTGCATGCGTGGCTGCACTTACCTGGACGCACATGCACCAGCAGAGGTGCTTTCCAGTAACTGTTTTGAGACGTCTCAAAACAACACTTTTATCACGTGGCTTACCTGGATGCACATGCACCAGCAGAGGTGCTTTCCAGTAACTGGGAGGGGTTTGGTTTGGTCAAAAGGGCTGGCATGGTAAAGGGGACGGAGAGACCTTTGAGTCGACTCAAAAGTCACCTTGCTTTCCAGTAACTGGGAGGGGTTTGGTCAGAAGGGCTGGCATGGTAAAGGGGACGGGGATGGGATAGGATCATAGGGGCAGTGGAGAAGCGCACTGATGCCTTCCAGGCTTCCAAGCACTACCTGAGAAGGGGTGGTAGAAAGGAGACTATTAGACATGATCCAGCGAATGGACTCGTGGGTTTCGTGGGGGCAGTGGAGAAGCGCACTGATGCCTTCCACTACCTGAGAAGGGGTGGTAGAAAGGGATGCGAATGGATTCCTGGGTTTTGTGTCTCTTCTCTAAGCCACCCACACACATTCCTGGGTGCCGGACAAATGTGGGTGGGCTTAGAGAAGGGACTGGAGGCAGAGAGATGCAGGTGAACAAGAAACAGCTTTGATAAGAAGGGATACGCGAGGAGGCAAGGGGAGAGGCAGTAGGGAACGCATAGCATTGCAGCAGGAGGGAACGCATTGCAGCAGGAGGGAACGCATTGCAGCAGGAGGGAACGCATTGCAGCAGGAGGGAACGCATTGCAGCAGGAGGGAACGCATTGCAGCAGGAGGGAACGCATTGCAGCAGGAGGGAACGCATTGCAGCAGGAGGGAACGCATTGCAGCAGGAGGGAACGCATTGCAGCAGGAGGGAACGCATTGCAGCAGGAGGGAACGCATTGCAGCAGGAGGGAACGCATTGCAGCAGGAGGGAACGCATTGCAGCAGGAGGGAACGCATTGCAGCAGGAGGGAACGCATTGCAGCAGGAGGGAACGCATTGCAGCAGGAGGGAACGCATTGCAGCAGGAGGGAACGCATTGCAGCAGGCGGGAACGCATTGCAGCAGGAGGGAACGCATTGCAGCAGGAGGGAACGCATTGCAGCAGGAGGGAACGCATTGCAGCAGGAGGGAACGCATGACAGTTGCAGGACTGCACTAGCAGCCTCCGAGTATCCACGTTCACAGCTCCCCACCCCCAGGGGTTTCCACCTCCAACCCCTCCTCTCCCCTTCCATCCTCCATTCTCCCCCTCCCGCCCCCTCCGCTCACCGCTTCTTAATCTCGCTGTCGCGTCACCCCCAGCAGCCCAAGCAGGAGCATCAAGTTCATCCCCTCACCCCCCGCCTCCACCCTGACCTCCAATGCTTGACTCTCCCCCTCCCGCCCCCTCCGCTCACCGCTTCTTAATCTCGCTGTCGCCCGCAGCAGGCGTCACCCCCAAGATGGCGTACGCAGTCAGCTCTGGGTCGAGAATGCGCTCCACCTGTGGGGGGGGGAGAAGGAGGGGAAGGGCATGATGGAGGGCAGGCAGGCATGCAACACGCAGCAGCAGGCGTCACCCCCAAGATAGAGTACGCAGTTAGCTCCGGGTCCAAGATGCGCTCCACCTGGGGGGAAGGGGCGAGATGGGCATGTGTGAACATGCCTGCCATTCAAGCAGCAGCCGCAGGCGCAGCAGAGAGCAGGAGGGGAGGCATGATCGCAGGAGGGGAGGCATGATCGCAGTGAAGCACCTGTCACCCACCCCTACCTCTTACTCCCCACCTCCTTCCCTCACCCCCTTCCCCTCACCTCCTCGTATTTCTCCGCCTGGGTTGCGTTGGCTGCCTCAGCACCCAGGGCGGGCAACATGCCCCCGGCCCCTCGCCACTCCCCTCCCCTTGCCTCTTATTCCCCACCCCATTCAACACCCATCCCTCTCTCCCCTCACCTCCTCGTATTTCTCCGCCTGGGTCGCATTGGCTGCCTCAGCAGCCAGGGCGGGCGGCATGGGGCCCACAAACGGGCTCTCTTGCAGCGCCTGCTCCGCCTCCCTGCAGTGATGGGTGGGAGGATGGGGGGTACAATGGGGGTGCGATAGGGGGGCAATGTTAGCGAATGCGCCTCAGCAGCCAGGGCGGGCGGCATGGGGCCCACAAAGGGGCTTTCTTGTAGCGCCTGCTCCGCCTCCCTGCGATGATTGATGGGAGGATGGCGGGATGGTGGGGGGTGATGATGCTGGGGTGATTGAGGGCTGATGGGGGGGTGATTGGGGATTGATGACGGGATGATAGGAGGATGGTGGGTGTGTGATGATGGGGGCATGATGGTGGATGGTGAGAGGATGCAGAGATGGTAGCGGAAAGATGACCAACACTCCTCTAGAGTACATGCTGAGCGTGGCTGCCACCCTCACTGCACACCTCACTGCACCTCACTGCACCTCACTGCACCCCAACTCACCCCATTCCCCCCTCCACACGCTCCACTCACTCCATCTCCTCCATGGCGCGTGTGAGCGACGCTGCAGCGGCCAGCAGCGCTGCTGTGCATCCACCCTATCCCAGTGCTCTCCCACCCACCCTTTCCCTGTATTCCCACGCCCACCCCTCGCCGCACCCCTCCCCCCTCCACTCACTCCATCTCCACAGAGCGGGTGGGCGACGCTGCAGCCGCAAGCTGCTGCCTTCACCTGAACCCATCCCCCCTCCCTTCATTCCCTCTCTCCAACCCTCCCCCTCCTCTCACTCCATCTCCTCCACGGCGCGCGTGAGCGACGCTGCAGCCGCCAGGTGCACCCACGCCCAACCCCCATCCCCCACCCCTCCTCCCTCTCCCCACCGCTCCCCCCTCTCCCCACCGCTCCCCCCTCTCCCCACCGCTCCCCCCTCTCCCCACCGCTCCCCCCTCTCCCCACCCCTCCCCCCTCTCACTGCATCCATCTCCCTTCCCCCACTCACTCCATCTCCTCCACAGCGCGGGTGAGCGACGCTGCGGCCACGCCCAGCCCCCACCCCTCGCCCCCACCCCTCGCCCCCACCCCTCGCCCCCACCCCATGCACTCCCTCTCGCCATCCCCCCCAACTCACTCCATCTCCTCCACGGCGCGCGTGAGCGATGCTGCAGCCGCCAGCTGCGCTGCCGTGGGCATGGCGGGGCCCATGCTGGTGCCGGGGACATGAGGAGAGGGGGATGGGGAATTGGGGGGAGATGGGATGATTTGCGGGGAGAGCTTGTGAGGGCACCAGCTGCGCCGCCGTGGGCATGGCGGGGCCCATGCTGCTAAGGGGAGGGGGGAAGGGGGGGAGGAAGAGTTGGGGGGAGTTGGGGGCGGGAGGGCGGGGGTTGGTTGGTGTGGAGGGAGGGGGGGCGGTGTGGAGGGAGGGGGGGCGGTGTGGAGGGAGGGGGGGCGGTGTGGAGGGAGGGGGGGCGGTGTGGAGGGAGGGGAGGCGGTGTGGAGGGAGGGGGGGCGGTGTGGAGGGAGGGGAGGCGGTGTGGAGGGAGGGGGGGCGGTGTGGAGGGAGGGCTTGAACCGTGGGGTGGACCAGAGGGGTTTTACGGGTGGGCGCTGGGATGCTGCAGCATGGAAAGCACATGGCCCCTGTCCCCCTAAAAGCATGTGCCCTTGCCCCCCTCACACGCCCCCTCTTCCTTCCAGCACCTCTCTTCCCCCAAGCACCCCTCTCCCCCGGAATGCCCCTCTTACACACACCAAGCATCTCGATCCCCCGAATGCCCCTCTTACACACACCAAGCATCTCAATCCCCCGAATGCCCCTCTTACACACACCAAGCATCTCGATCCCCCCGAATGCCCCTCTTACACACACCAAGCATCTCAATCCCCCGAATGCCCCTCTTACACACACCAAGCATCTCGATCCCCCCGAATGCCCTTGCTTCCAAAGTTCCAAACAAGTGCTGCTCACCGTGTTCTCCTCGCTGCCTCTGCTGCCTCTCCCCCCTCGCACCCCTCTCGCCCGGAATGTCCCACTTACACACACCAAGTATCTCGATCCCCCCGAATGCCCCTGCTACTGAACAAGTGCTGCTCACCGTCTTCTCCTCGCTGCCTCTGCTGCCTCTTCGCCCTCGCCCTCTCCCCTCCCTCTCCCTCCTCTCCCCACTCCGCCCTCCCCCTCCCTCTCCCCCTCTCCGTCTCCCCCCTCGTCGCCCCCTCCCTTCCGCGAGGGGCCTATCACCACTGCCGCTTCGTCTCCTCCCCTTCCTCCCCCTTCCGCCAGGTCGCTTCCGCCTTCCCTCCCCTCTCCGCGCTCTTCCCCCTTCCCCCCACCGCCACCATTTCCAGCCCCAGCAGCAGCAGCTTCAGGATCTGGCAGATTCTGCAGCAGTTTGGCCACTAGCGGCACGACACGTGGCAGGCAGCGCGGAGCCGCACTGGGAAGCTGATAGAGCGAGGCGCGCTTGCTCTTACCGCCTTTCCCTTTGCTCTTGCCTTGAGAATCAATCCCCAGCGAGCGGAAGATGCTTCCGAGAAGCTTCTTGAGGCGGCGGTCCGGGATGCCGCCAACGTCGACCGCCTCGCCGCCGTCGACGCGCTCGAGGAGGCGCACGAGGTCGTGCGACACGTCCAACGGGAACTCCCGCATCATCCGCCGCAAATCCCGCTCCAACCGATCTTCTGCCGACTCACCGTCCTGCTCGTGCCCCCTCCCGCCTTCCTTCCTTCTCCGCTTCTCCTTCTCCTTTCCCCGCTTCTCTCGCCGCCGCTCACGCTTCTTGCCATGATCTGACGACGAATCGGAATCGCTGCTGCTCTCGCTCTCACTACTGCTGCTATTTCGACTGGAGCCCGACCAATCAGAGCTCGAGGCGTCATCGTCGCTTGAAGACCGTCGCTTCTTCTCCCGTCGTTTCCGTCGCCTCTCGCCTTTCTCCCGTCGCCCTCCTTTTCGCTCCTTCTCCTTCCTCTCCTTCCTCTCCTTCCTCTCCTTCCTCTCCTTCCGCCCCTCCTCGCCTCGCCTCCCCTTCCCCTCCTCCTCCCCGTCGCTCTCGCTGTCTTCGCCGCTGCGCTTCTTCCGCTTTCTGTCATCCTTCGTCATGAGTCGTGTCGCCAGGTGGTGAAATGCGAATGATCAGGAAATCTTGCAACGACGTGAGGGTGACGACGATGAGTTTCAGTAGTGACAGCTCAGGGTCTGCAGGCCCGGGAATTGCGATACTGTGTTATGAATCGAGCAAACTCCGCATGGTACACCCAATTTATATTGGTGATACACAGCAACTTCGATAAATTTTGGAATGAAACACATGTATCAAACATTTGCAAACCGGTTTGTACTTCTCATTTTCAGCGCAAGAAAATGCCCAGAATAGCACTGGCGAGCGAGAAAAGCGCGAAGATCACGAGGGCAAATACAAAAACGCCGGCCACTATGGTCAGGACCGGCACTCCCGAGGCTGATGATGACTCTGACGTGGCGGCCTCAGGTGTGGGCTTGCTCCCTGCCGAAGCTGCAGCTGCGGCAGCGGAATCAGTGGCTGGCGTGTCTGCAGATTCACCTGCGGCTCTGACAGTGAGCGCTGCAGAGGTGCAGAGGAGGTAGGATGCACGCAGGGGGAGAGGAAGAAGGGAAGGCAGCATGGGGGGAGTGTTAGAGGAGGGGGCATGGGGGGAGTGTTAAAGGAGGGGGCATGGAGGGAGTGTTAAAGGAGGGGACATGGAGGGAGTGTTGAAGGAGGGGGGCATGGGGGGAGTGTTAAAGGAGGGGGCATGGGGGGAGTGTCAAAGGAGGGGGCATGGGGGGAGTGTTAAAGGAGGGGGCATGGGGGGAGTGTTAAAGGAGGGGGCATGGGGGGAGTGTTAGAGGAGGGGGCATGGGGGGAGTGTTAGAGGAGAGGGCATGGGGGGAGTGTTAGAGGAGGGGGCATGGGGGGAGTGCTAGAGGAGGGGGCATGGGGGGAGTGTTAAAGAAGGGGGCATGGGGGGAGTGTTAAAGGAGGGGGCATGGGGGGAGTGTTAGAGGAGGGGGCATGGGGGGAGTGTTAGAGGAGGGGGCATGGGGGGAGTGTTAGAGGAGGGGGCATGGGGGGAGTGCTAGAGGAGGGGGCATGGGGGGAGTGTTAGAGGAGGGGGCATGGGGGGAGTGTTAGAGGAGGGGGCATGGGGGGGGCACGAAGGGTGGCGAGGGAAGACAGGAGCAATGGAGGGACAGTGCATGGGTGAGCGCAGGGAGGGATGAAGACAGAGCGCTGCTGCCGTGCAACATCCAGCACTGATGCATGGAGTGGGACTTGAAGACGGTGGGGAATGACAGGTGCAATGGAGGGACAGCGCCTGGGTGAGGGCACGGAAGGACCAACAGAGAACACCGCTGCCGTGCAACACCCACCCAGCGTTGCGCGGAAACACGGTCATCCACACTCACCCACGGTCATCCACACTCACCCACGGTCATCCACACTCACCCACGGTCATCCACACTCACCCACGGTCATCCACACACACACACCCACGGGCCATGGCGCTGCGCCGCGCACCCACAGGCTACGAGAGCGAGCGAGCACGACAGATGCGCTGCGCCGCTGCCGCATACTCCAGCACGCAGCGCGGAGAAGAATATACTCACAACAGACGTGCGGCGACCCACGGCCATGCGACACACACTGCCATGCGACACACACTGCCATGCGACACATGCGACACACACTGCCATGCGACACATGCAACACACACTGCCATGCGACACATGCGACACACACTGCCATGCGACACATGCAACACACACTGCCATGCGACACATGCGACACACACTGCCATGCGGCTGTCGACTTACATGTGCGACGAGACTGGCTCTGCGACCGACTGATCGCGTGCGACACCCTGCCACGACGACGGAGGGTACGCAGAGAGGGGGAACGTGAAGGCTGCTTTACGCGATGGGATGCGTTGAACAAGGCAATATAGGAAAGCGTTTCCGAAACACATTCGAGGGCTATTGGCCGCAATAGCCGCGCGACCCGTTGGCTAGTCAGCTATGATGGAGAGAACAACGCGACGCGAACTCAAACTCGCTCTTCGCCCAACCAGCTGCACCTGAGCCTGTTGATGTGCGACACGTGGACCAGTGCCTTTGCTTCAGCAGAGCGCGCCGAGCTGCCCTGCCTCAGGCTGCACCGCGACGGAACGGCGCAGGACGCGAGGGGCGCGAGCGATGCGGCGACGGCAGCCATGGGCGAGAGATATCAACCGCGAAGGACGGCGAGAGCAACGCAGGCTATTGCGATTCGCGAAGGCTGATTGAGAGGACCAACGCGTCGTCGCTACGAGGAGGAATTAATCTCGAAGAAGCGTGCGAAGCGAGTCGGGCTGTGCTGAAATTGGGTCTCAACTGACACAAGTCTCGAAGCAGCCAATCGAAATCAGCAGAGGGCGAATCAGCTGTTGCAGGAACGGATCTGGGAGACCATTCTTCTAGAAATCCTCGATACAAAGGTTTCCTCGACTCTTCCACGTGAACCATTGCCAACATGGCACTCTTCGCAACAAGTAGGTAGGTTTAAAAGTGACATACCATATCTGCTAAATCGCCCGACATGTGTCCGATCCAATATAAACCAAGCTCTGCGATGGAACCCGAACCTGTTTGCTTGGCAATTCTTTTCCCTCCAGCCGCAGTTATTCGCCTGTTATTCTGATCTATATTCATCACCATAACGAGGTGGACAATAATAAACAACCCCGCTCCCTCTCCCCTTCCAACCCCCCCCCCCCCCCCCCCCCCTCACCCCCAATCATCCTTCAGACAGGGGTGAGTTTGATCCCTCTCTCAACATGTCCCCCTCCTGCTCCTCCCCATCCTCTCCCTCCTCGCCTCCCATCCCTTCTTCCCCCTCCTCCCTCTCCTCATTCCTCCCCTCCTCCTCCTGCCGCTGCTCCTCCCGCTGCTGCTGCTTCACCAGAATACAATCCAGCAGCCCACCCACCCCCACTATCGGCAACAGCCGATCCACGCGCACCAATCGCAACCCTTCCCGCCTCAACTCGCTGTCCACGTCACCCTTCCCTCCAGCGCCCCCTTCAACACTGCACCCAGCCCCCTCCCCCGCTCGGCTCTGCCCCTCGCCACTCTCCCCCTCCCCCTCCTCCCTGTTGCGGTTCTGAGGGGTATAAAGCTCTGATAGCTCCTGCAAAGGCGGAGGGCGAGCAGCAGGGGAGAGGGGTGGGGTGAGGAGTGGGGGGATAAGGAGAGAAGGGGGAGGGGAAAAGGGGGATAAGGAGAAAGGGGGGTGTGGAGGAGCGCAGAAGAGAAAGGGCGGCAGGAAAGGAAGGAGGGAGTAGCAGGGAACGCACCAGGGGGGAGTGGGGGGCAGAGCAACACGCACCCGTGTGGGGGGGAGAGGAGAGAAGAGCAGCAGGGGACACACCGGGAGGGAGCGGAGCAGGAGTGAACGCACCATGACCTGCTGCAACAGGAAGGGGAGTCGACTCAATGCCACACAGCCTTGGTTACAACGCCACACACCAGCAGGAGACGCACCGGGAGGGGGCGGGTGGAAGTGGAACACAGCAGCAGTGAACGCACCATGACCTGCTGCAGCAGGAAGCGCACGTAGTGAACTGCCTCCAGCAGGAAGGGGAGTCGACTCGATGCCACACAGCCTTGCTTACAATGCCACAGACCAGCAGGGGACACACCGGGCTGGGGGGGGGGGGAGGCGAATCAGCAGTCAACGCACCATGACCTGCTGCAGCAGGAAGCGCACATAGTGAACCGCCTCCAGCAAGAAGCTCTCGGTTGTCATCGTGGCCGCCCCCGGCACCAGCCCCTGCAGCACCCTCATGCGCGCATTGACTCGCTCCCGCCGCATCTGAGGTTGGGGGGGGTGAGCGCAGGGGAGTGGGGAGGTTGGGGGGGATGAGAGCGAGGAGCAGGAAGCTCTCAGGTGTCATCGTGGCCGCCCCCGGCACCAGCCCCTGCAGCACCCTCATGCGCGCGTTCACCCGCTCCCACCGCATCTGAAAGGGGGAGGGTGAGAGAGAAGGGAGAAAAGAAGAGGAGGGGCGCGCGGGTGCGGCACCCCGATGCGCGCGAGGGGGATGGGGTAAAGAGTGTGTGGGGGGAGATTGGCTGAATGGTGACAGTTTGTGTGAAGGGGGGCGGGGTGGGAAGACAGGGAGGGAAGGCACTCGTAAGAATCTCTCTTGCCCGTCTGTCTTGTCTCACTCACGACACTGGGCGACGCAAGGCATCCACCCTACACCGATAGGTTTCCGCTTCCCTATTTCCGCCACCCCACATCCACCCATTACCCCGCGCTGCCGCGCATCACTCTCACCCCCCTCCCCCCCTTCAACCGCCCCTCCTTGCGCCTTTCCCCCGAGCGCTTACCCGCGCGGCCATGGCCTGGGCGCCCAGGTTCTGCCCTTTCCCAGGCCCATCCCCCCATCCCTCCCAAGCGCATCACACTTTCCCCCTTTCCCCCGAGCGCTGCGCTTACCCGCGCGGCCATGGCCTGGGGGCCCAGGTTCTGCCCTTTCTTCGACGACTGCTGGCCCCCGCCGCCCGCAAAGTCATCCCCCCTTCCGCCCCGCTCCCCAGCGCCTCCGCCCGCCCCGCCTTGCGCGGAGAGAGACTCCTCCCACGCCTTCCGGATCGCCCTTCCTTCTCGCGCTGCCACCTCAGACGTTCCCACGGCACGTGACAACGCCCCGTCTCCTCTGCTTCCCGAAGCGCCCGCTAAATCCGCCGCTTCGTGCGCGCCCTGCCCCTCGCGCAGCTCCCCCTCCCCGCCGCCCGCAAAGTACCCCGAGTGCACTAGCTGCCAAATCGCCTCCAGCTCAGATCGCGTCGGCATGACGTCATCGGCGCCGCCTCGCGCGGCCGGCCGGCTGCCGCCAACAGATGGTCTCTTGGAACTCTCTGAGCGATGAGCGTCCGCGTTATTAGCATCCCCGCGATCGGCAAAACCGTCGGTCCGTCCTGCTGCGCCAGCCTCCGGTCTACCGCTCTGCGTGGCAGCGCCTCCCTCGGAGCTGCCGCGCGCGCGCTTCAGGAGCGCGGAAGCTTCCGCCGCAGCGTCGACGTTGAAGTCCCCGACCGCCTCCCCCTCAAGCTTCCGCTTGAGCGCCGCCTCGAGCGCGCGCACTGCTGCCGCCGCGAGCTGTATTTCCATCGCCGCGCGGCCGGGGTGCGCGAATGGCGCAAGTTTTGCGCGGCGGTGAACAGGAGCGTTTGGGCGCAAAAGCCGGCGGAGTAAAGATCGCTTCCTTCTCTGGCTTCCCTTCCCAGTTCTCCGCGCAGCTAGCGGAGGGAACAAGTCGTAAAAAACACAGGCGGCTCGAGTTCGTGATGCGAGGTGCGTGGGGAGGAGGTCGGAGGAAAGGCGTTATTGTTGGGCTGTAAGCAAGGCCCGAGCGGTGCGCGCGGGCTAAAGCTAAGAGTGTGGCGGAGGGCAGGAAGCAGGTGTGTGCATAAGTGGTAAGAGAAAAGTCAATCGGGTTAGGGCGTGTGTAGTCTGTTTAAAAGTTCGAAAAAAAGTTTGGGTGGTTACTCGTTGCGCAAGTCTCGCTGACGCAAATTGGCGACGCCATCGTATTATGGGGCACGTGAAAGTTCGAGTTTGAAATCTGAACTTGACTCGAGTTGGAGCCATGAACTTGCGTGCGCACGTTCATTCGAGCGTGTGTGCTTTGTAGCACCTACAAAACGCAGGCGAAACAGGCGACCGCTTCGCGAGTGGCTGAAATGGCACAACGAAGTTACTCTACTGTTCAGTGCAATGATTGGTAGCCACGTGGCTAAATTTGAGCGGGTAACCTATGCGTAACGATCCGGGTAACCTATTTAGTAGAAGTGCGGCTCGGCACATTTTTAGCAAGTTAGAATTTCGGGGCTCGACCTTGTATGTGTGTGTGCTTTTTAACTGTGTTTAACACCTGATGTTCGAACTTCGATACAATACAAGTCGAATTTCGCTCGACTTACGTTCTTTTCGCAAATAGCCCTAAAAACATGAACTTTTACAAATTTCGAAGACCACACACGCCCTTACCTTTCTATGAGGCAGACCAACGGAGCTGGCATCATAAAAAGGACGCGTCGTTTCAGGTCCAGGCGCCGACAACCTGCCTTTTCGCGAAAGCTGGTGGGTTGTACGGATCACTAGAATACCGTCGATGGGCGATGAATGTTACCCTTTTCCATGTTCGCAGCTGCGCCTGTTACACCACCCTCCCCCGCCAAGTAACGTTCCGCTCTATCCCCCTGCGCTTGACGGCGACAGTTCGGAATCGGACTCCGCAGCAGTTGGTTCATCCTTCCCCGCGCACAAGCCCGACGGCTAGCAGCCACCTCCGTCCGCGCAGGAATGAAGCGAAATCGTGAATTACAGTCACCTGCAGTAGGATTCGGTATGCACTACATTTGTTAAACTTCTCATATTATGATAGAAATAACATTACAGGACGTCAGGACAAGACTCATGCCATATGTACACAACTCGTTGCTTTCTCCTACAAAACACTTGCGCATGTCACGCAGCTAAATAATTGGACTTCTGCCACATTGAGCAAGAGGATCCAGGCGCCTTGCGGCCATGCATTAGTAGCTGCTACTATTAGTATCACAGATGCAATTATTGTTGTTGTTGCTGCTGCTGCAGGAAGGCATGGTACATCTCCAGGTTGAGAGGCTGCAAAGAGAAGAGGAAAGGAAAGGGATTAAAAGAAGAGCATGAGTGCAATTGATATGGCGTTGAGGGTGGCGGGAGAGGAGCAGAGAGAAGGGAGACCAGTGCATGCAAGAGGGGCATAGGGGAGAGGAAAAAATAAGGGCCCGAAGGACAAGAGAGCTTTCAGGAGAGAAACGAGGAGGAGAGGGGGAAGGAAGCGAGGGGAGCGGGAATATGGGAGAGGGGAATGAGGGAGAAGGAAAGGGAGAGGCGATGAGAACAGCGGAGAGGCATTGTGCGATGTGCTGACCTGCTGCTGCTGCTGCTGCTGCTGCTGCTGCTGCTGCAAGTGTTGCTGTTGCTGCTGCTGCATGCGCTGGTGCCGTGCCAGGTACGCTTCCATAGGGTCCACCCCTGCCGCCCGCACCTGCCGCCCGCCCTCCCCCCTTTCTGCACCCCCCGCTGCCACACCCATCCCGCCCATCGCCCCACACCCGCCATCACCACCGTTGCCACCCCCATTAAGCCCATTTAGAGCCTCCTCGCCCTGCATGCCCACT